TATAACTTTGAACAAAAAGACTAAATATTGTATCTTCCTTCTATCACCAAGACTGAGAAACCTATGCTTTTGAAGTAAGATATTTTGTGAAATCCCTACGGGAGGATAAACACCATCAGTTTTGAGTAATAAATACTTCAAGAACTTCTTCTGAATTTTTTCCAATGAGTCACATGAGGTAACATAGCATGGGTTCCAGATTATCCTTCCGTATTCCAGCTTAGAAAGGACAAACGAATTGTACAGCACTGTAGGTGCCGGTAAACTCTCTTGAATTGCGTATAACGAATCCCAGTGCTTTGTTGGCAGAATTCACTAAATTAGTTAGGTGTGCATTGAAGCTCAATGTCCCGTCAAATATTATTCCCAGGTCCCTGAACTCCTCTAAAGTCTGAAGAGGAGTGTTGTTAATTTTATAACTATTGGTAATTGCATTTACTCTCCTAGTGAAAGTTAAAGATTCACATTTGCTCACGTTAATGGGAAATTTATTAGCAGCACACCACTCAGACAGTCTGTCAAGATTCCTTTGTAAATAAGAGCAACTAGAAGGATCATCAATTTGCCAGTACAGTTTTATGTCGTCCGCGTAGAGCAGAATATTGCAGTCAATCCTATTAACTAAGTCATTAATAAAAATGACGAATAGTAGTGGACCTAAGGAAGATCCTTGTGGGACGCCAGTTGATGGAAAAAAGTGAATTGATTTACAACTCTATCAAACGCTTTACTGAAATCAGTATATAGCACATTCACCTGACCATTAGAATCTAACACACCTGCTAGGAATTGAGTTAAACAGACTAAGTTTGTTGTTGTCGACCTTCCTTTTACAAATCCATGTTGTGCTGTAGAAATTGAAGAACTTACGTTGTATTGTATGAAATTATGTAATAACATTTCAAACGTTTTCGAAAAATTACCCACAATAGTGATAGGCCTATAGTTTTCAATTAATTTAAGGCTTCCATTTTTATGGATAGGTCGAACCTTGGCTTCACGCCAAATCTCAGGAAATGTATGTGATCTGATATTAGGTTATAGATTTTAGTTAAAGGTGCAGCAAGAATAGGCGCACAATCACGGATTAAGAATGCAGGTATACCATCAGACCCACTACTGAACTTGTTTTTCATTTTCGTTAATGCCATAAGAACCTCATTTACTGTGAATCAAATGGATCGTTGCTATTTTTTAAGTTTTTCTTGTCAGTTGTCTTTTAACATGCTCCCAGAGATGTTCTATAGGTCTATTAGGTCGGGGGATTGCGAAGGCCATGTAAGAACATTAACATTTTTTAGTCTTAACGAGTCCTGTACGAAGTTTGATGTATGCTCGAGGTGATTATTTTGTTGGAATGTCCATCGTAAAGGCATTTCTTCTTCATCAAAGAATATCTTTGTATAGTTTTTGATCCATTTTTCCAACAATTTTAACAATCGTACCCGTTCCAGAACTAGAAAAACGGCCCCAAATCATGATGTTGCCTCCACCGTCCTTAACTGTTGGCAACTGATACTTTTTGTCGTATCTTTTTCGTATTGGACGTCTCACATATATGCCGTACCGTCAGATAGAAACAAATTTAATTTGCTTTCATCGCTCCATAAAACTTTCCATTGTTGAGAATGAGAGTCATTTGCACTGAACGCCTACCAAAAAGCCCAAAATCTGTTCTGACAAAAAGATTCTCGGCACCCTGTACTACGATTCTTTCGAAAATCTGTGGCTGGCATTCGAGGATCTTCATGGAACAAACGTTTAATGTAGCGATCCAAAACATATCGGTTTTTTTTCGGTCTTCCGCACCTCGGCCGCGTTGCTGTTGATCCGTATTCTTGATATGTACTTATAATTTTCGAAATCGCCCCTTTGTTCATTTTTAATCTTTGAGAAATGTCAACATTTCTGACACCACTCCTAAATAATTCAGTTGCTCTTAAGTCTTGTGAAAATTCTTTTACTTTTGCCGTTCTGACTGTTGTTAATATTTACCGCACGCAATATGAGAGTATCGCAGAACGAATAAATACGGCAAAACTGAAACGTTTCCATACTTTTGTCGTTACAAAAACTGTGGTATTTAAAAAACGCGTTTTTATTTTCAGAGAATTTGAATATTGATGAGATGAAGCTTGTATTAGTACCAAAGGTAGACAGCAATATTTATATTATCTGTTCCTTCACAATTTTAATTTAGGTATATGGAATAGTTCACAATAATGTTGATATTTGTTTCCAAACTTTTGTCCGCTACTGTAGCTGTCAAAACAACCTGCGAGGAACTTAGTATAGTAATCTTTCCGCACCGCTCACTTGTCAATCCAAGCTTTAATATCTTGGATCAGCCTTCTAGACCTCGCACTTTGGTCATTTGCATCTCATTTCTCCTGCCACCTGACAAAAGGAGTCTCAAATTCGGCGCTTCTAGCTTCGGCGCCCTTCTTATAGAGGGCTCATCTCTCCTCAGCTAGTAGACCAATTGAGATTATTCATGCTTATCGTCATACGTTTTCCTTTAGAACAATCGCCTTGTATGAAATGGAATTCAGTGAAATTGCTTCACCTCTTGGTAAATATATAAATGCCGCACGTTATGTAGTTTCTCCGATTTTTTCTAATAAGCCGCATTGTTAAATTCCTCTGTCTTAATAACTTTTCCCTAATAAGGAAGTGAGCTCTGTTGTTCAAATTACCCATTATAATTACTAAATTACTTGTTTGAATGCGAGCCATAATGAAATTGCCACATGACATATTGATATGCTATTTTTTCCGTTCCGCTGTATCGGGTGTCTTTGAATATCCTCCACGGTGAGTGAGTCGACTTTCTGGTATCCATGATTTTTTCTTCTCTGAGGAATCTCGTATCACCTTATTGTTTCTTGTGTCGCAATGCGATACCTTGATTACTTTCATATACAGGGTGTTGGGACATTGCCTTTTGGCGAATAATTGAAGGTTGATCAACGTTAAAGTTGAGAATAGAGACCTAGACAAAGACAACACTTCAATTTTTATAACAAGAACTTGTAAATTAGAAGGATGACATTTTATAAAGTACTACTTGTTGTCAACGTTTACTGTTACATACTACCAAATACACAATTTAGATTGGATTGAAAAGGCCCCAAAACTAGTGATGACATTCAAACTATTGAACATTGAGCAAATGAAAAAATGATTTATAATATAACTTTGAGGCCTCATTGCACTAGACAATTCTGTTGATTTACCTTCATTCGCAATTGTTTATGTTTACTGTTCAGTTTTGGTCAATATTGTCAAAATTTACTGTGGTCTCATTCTCATCCCACGCTGACGACTGAAATCTCCACTATGCACATGGCATTGTGGTGGGTATGCGTGTTTTGATTATAGCATATGACTTCCTATAGGGAAGATCGAGTGGTTTTACTTAAAGTACTACAAAGTAGTAGCAACATTCCAAGGTCAGGTTGAATGATTTTTTTTCTCGCCCTGTACCTCGAAACCAAATCGGTATTTCGGCAATCTATAGGATGAATCAATACTAGAACAGGTCAAAGAAGCATCTGTTGAATTTTTGCACCATGTTTTGAAAGCAGACTGTGTGTTATTCGTATCGACCAAATCTGCTGTAGCTTTTGCCCGGAATGGAAAAAAAGGATAAAGGTCCTCTAGTTCTTTTGTCACTTGAACAAACCTCTATTCTTTGCAATTGGTTGTCCAATATCGACGCAATTTCTTATTAAGTAATAAAACAATGAATTTCAAGTGGAATGAATATAACATATATTTAAAATGAAAGATACATGTATGGCAATTTAAGAAAATTATGTGTGGAAAATGATATCTTGCAAATGACCGCCCTGTGATAACTGGCAATAGAAATTCTTTGTTAAAATTCTCGATGATACGATCACATAATTGTGGCTCTATCTCAGCGATTACACGGGTTGTTTCCTCTTTCAACGCTTCAATCGTCTGAGGTTTGTTCCTGTAGCCTTTACTTTCAACCCCAAGCTGCTTTCTGCGATGACTTTTCACGTCATTTTACCGCTTGCATACATATTCGTCAATGTCACTTGAATTGGGTTACTTTAAATGGAGTGGGTACATATACGGGAAAGCCACCATGGTTAGTACTGTTTTTAAACAAGTAATGCTCATAAAATTACTTGAAATTTATTTATTTAAAAACAAAATACAGCCGATAATCGCAATAAGACAAACTTAAACTTAGAGTGATAAGTTTTTGACTCAAATTTTTGTCGGTTTTGCTTTTATTGTTGATGGTATTGTCGATGGAAAATGCCTTCCAGTCAGTCTTGTGGGCATTGGCTTGCTAGACCTTTTTTTGTTTGTAAGGGTTTTCTGTATTTTTCAACTGTCTTCTCAACCAGCTCCAGTAAAACGTTCAGTCTTGTTAGTTTTCCGCCATTCTTCTTATAAATTTGAAAAGCATTCAACGTAGTGACACTTAGAAAATGGAGAAACATCTTCATGTAGTATTTTTTAATTCTAGTACGAGCAATTCCATAAAAGTGGAGGTAAGTGTCAGATAAATCAACACTACCCATGCTGGCATTGTAATCGATTACGCAAGATAGCTTTTAAATATCCCCGCTCCTTGCTGCAATCTTTTTCATGCTGTCATCGTGGACTATGCTTATCACAACGTCTTTCTTGTCGCGCCATTTCTGAATCATGAGTTTTCTTCTAAAACGTGCTACAGTTTGGCCTCTCTGTAATTTTACTTTTAATTCCCGTGGTATTCCTTTTCTATTTTTTCTCATTGTCCCAACGGTATCCATCCTTTTTACTAGTTTGACGCACAGGTCTATGCTGGTATAATAATTATCTAAAAACAGGCGGTATCCCTTATCTAAAAGAGGATGAATCAACGCAACACTACCCTCGAAGTAAGTGGTTCATTTATATACAAAGCACTGTATTCAGAATCTGCGCCAGTTTAAACTGAAAAGTTGTACAGGTAACCACTGCGGCTTTCACATAAGGCAAACACTTTCATGTCAAACCGTTTCCTTTTCGAGGGTATGTACTGTTTCCAAGCAAGTCTGCCTTTCCATCCTATCAAGGACTTATCTATGGCTGTTTTGTTCGGGTACATAAGCTGACATATACTTTTATCAACATTTCCAAAACTGGTAAAACTTTGATCAATATTCGGCTTTTTGTACGTGGATTTTGAGTAGAATTATGTACAAAGTGTAAAAACTTTAGCAACAAATGAAATCGTCTCTCACCAATAACTTCAGAGTAAACAGGAGTCTCGATGCTCTCTCGTCGTGTAAAGTACATTTTATACTCAGGCTTAGGACAGATGCTCTGTAATATTAGCAACCCGATAAAGGTCCTAATTTCGTTACTATCTGTATCAAACCATTTTTTAGCTCGAGAATTTGGCTTGAGCTTATCTTGATTTGAACAAATATACTGCGATGGATATCTGTTTGTTTCTCTGACTATTATATCTATTAGATCATCATGTAAAAAATATTCAAAAATTTGTAATATATCCTTTAAATTGTTTACTTGCACACCACTGTTTGACGTAAAATGGAACGCTGGCCTAGGAATCCCCTTCTCAGTCCACGGCATTTCAAAAATTGGATCACGATTAGGTTCATCGGTATCACTCTCTTCAAAATCCTCGTTGAAATTAGAATCATTATCAGATTCGTCAGAACTAGTGCACTGACTCTCATCATCACTGGAATCATCTATAGTCATTTCAACATCAGAACTAGCCATTATCAAAAGTACTTTTAACGTTTGAACACAAACAAGCAGGAAATAGCCGGTATATATGAAACCACGCAATAATGACTGCTAGCTTACATCGAAATCAAATGGCGGCAGACAACAACTTTTGGTGTTGCCGGTATCACAAGCCCAAGTAATTGTTCCTTTTCCTTAAATGTACGGTGGAATCATCACAGGCGAACGTATTCGTGATAGCCATGGACGGCCTCAATAAAATATTCTTGGCAAATATATCCGTCATAATCAACCTGGATAAAAAATATGTTGGCGAATATACAGGGTGTCCGCAAAGTTGGGGTTTTCCTTTACACGACGTGTAGATCTTGAAAACATAAGCAATTTTTCTTAGTACCATATACACCAATGTCTTAAGGGAACCGAGATAAAGGGCTCTGCAACATCAAAAATATCTGAATACCGTCCTGTAGCCGCGACTCGCGATATCCCCAACTGGTACCGGCTACTAGCTCAACCTGACGACAGAAAGAACTGGGTCGGGGGTCGGGGTCAGTGTGTCAGGTCAGCTAACCTTCAACCGACGGTTACGGTCACGCGTGTAGAGGTAAACGAACTCGTACAATCGATTGCGTTCGAAAAAACAACAAGCACTAGAGACGTGGCTAGAGAAGTGCAAGTATCAAAAACTAAAGTGTGACAAACGCTGCGTGAAGAGGGGCTGTATCCGTTTCACGTCCAACGTGTACAAGCCCTTCAACCTGACGATTTTCCAGCAAGAGTGCGGTTTTGTGAGTGGTTGTTGCATCAACATGACAATAATCCGGACTTTTTGAAGTGCATATTGGTGACAGACGAATCTACGTTCACGCGTAATGGGGTGAATAACTTTCGCAACACTCATGTTTGGTCAGTAGAAAATCCGCACGCTGTCCGTCGGGCACATTTTCAACAAACATTTTCGGTGAATGTTTGGGCTGGCATGGTGAACGGTAGGCTCATTGGACCATTTATTCTCCCAAATCGATTGAACGGGATGCAATACCTAGACTGTTTACGTCTGCTCGGTAGCGCATCAGCTGATTTCATTTTCTGTTGGACCGGTATGATTTCGGGCAGAGACGTACTTAGCCCTTCTCGGCAACTGGAGAGTGAGTACTTTTTCCTTTATTTTTTTTTACTTGGTCGCCCTCGTTTCACTACACATTACCTTTGTTATTTCAAGGGTAGTTGTTTCTGAAAAGGAAAACCCCAACATTTGCGGACACCCTGTATAAGTCATTACCGCTGAAGGGGTTAACATAGCTCCAAAGGAAGAAGTCCAGCGGAGTCAAATCGCACGAACGAGCTGGTCAGCTGACAGGTTCGTTTCTGGAGATAACGTTACCATTAAATTTCTGCTCCAATAACTGGATTGCGTCTCGTGATGTGTAACAGGTTGCTCCATTCTGTTGAAACCAAATGTCTTGGGCATCAATATTGTTCAGTTCAGGCCACAAAAAGTCTTGCAACATTCGTCTGTATCGAAGACCATTCACAGTAACATCATGTCCAGTGTCATCTTCGAAGAAGTGAGGCCAATAACTCCACCACTCCAAAGACCACACCAAACAGTGATTTTTGCTGAATGTAAACCTTGTTCAACAGCTACTGTTGGATTTTGCTCACCCCAAACCCCACAATTTTGTTTGTTTACATACCAATTAAGTTGGAAACGTGCTTCGATTTTTTTGGAAAATCCTTCTTTCTGTTGCTTAATGAATTCACGACGTTTTGCATGGTCGTTGTGTCAATACTGTTAACGCCAAATCCTTGTGCAAAATACGCCAACCAATGGTTTGTGGAATATGGTCATCTTGAACACTCTCACGAACTGCAGCAATATTCTCTTGTGAGCGGCCTGGGCGTGGACGAATCGGTGTTTTTATGTCTAAAACTGAACCAGTCTCTTCAAATTTCCTCACTATTCTCGATATTGTTGACCAATTTGGACGATTATGGCGTTGATAAAACTCACGTAATTTACGAAAAACGTTTTCATTTAAACGTCCGTTTTCAAAATAAAGTTGAATTACCTGCACACGTTGTTCCACGCTGTACGTATCCATTTTATAAATTGCCAACTATAGTAGTTTACAAATGCCAATAAACTATGACATTTCTACTTTCAAACGTAACCTTCACAGATCTCACAAAAAAATGCACCTCTAGTAGAAAACCCGTTAGTTTTCAAAAACAGTTTAAAAATAACACAATATCGATTCGATACTCCGTTAGTATAGTCGAAATCACGAAAGATGACGATTACGTCATCATTTTATTCTGTAGTAAAGACAAACGACAGCCATTTGTGAATATTTTTAAATGAAGGTTCAGATGTGTTAGACAGAGACAAACAAAATTTTATTGTCTAAACAAGTAGTATTGCTGAATTGCATGTATCCGATAAAGGCAGACGATTTTTGCATGTTTCATGATCGATCACATTTGAAAGATGACAAGTGAGGTTATGTCAGCGTGTTGACAGTTCGTTGCAGGTTAGGTTGTTTTCGAACAATACTTTGGTCGTTGGTGTTCCTGTCTTGAGGTGTATCCTGTTGTGTGTATAACTGTTATTTTCAAAACAAAAACTCCTCATAAAAATTATTATTAAGGTAGAAACTAAATAATTTCCAACATAAGAGCATCATTTAAGACTTTAATTCTAGTTTTCGCTATGAAAGGCAAAACTCTTAGCTCTCAATCACAGGGCTTGGTACTATCCTTGCTGAATTATTCTCAACAAGAAAAGGATAATGGAGGGCCTCTATTACCATTGTTAGCTGTCCAAGAGGTTTGTAATAGTTAGAAATATGGTCATATGATTGACAATTTATTCTATATTATTTTTCAGAGGGTGGCTCAGGCACTAAGTATCAGTTTGTCCACTATTACCAGAATACAGCGCCGTTTATCATCTAATGATAATGTCCTAAGATCACCTGGAAAAAAGAGACCCAGAAAAAAGTCTAAGACAACATATTTATCTGATGCAGTCAGGCATAATATACGAGATACAGTGTATCAAATGTATAGTGAAAGTAATGATAATGAGCGTGAGATGGTACATTCCAAATTATTGATTTTTTGTTTTGTTTCAGAGAAACATGTCACAATAGCAAATTTAAATAAAACGCTCAAAGAGAAAGAGCTTGCTTCTATCAGCAATAGCTCTTTACAAAGAGTGCTGCCCACCATAGGCTTTAAATATAAGAAAGATGGTAATAGAAGATTTCTAGTTGAGCAATCCAGTATTTCTTTACTTCGCACCAAATTTTTGAGAAGTTATAATGACTATGTGAACACGCATCAAATTGTTTTCATGGATGAAACATGGATATTTTCAAAAGGCAGTCCAAAAAAGTCTTGGCAAGATGAGTCAATAAAAAGTGTAAGGAGACCATTGGGCTTCCAAGGAAAGCTATTTATTGTTGTCCATGCAGGGAGCGAAAAAGGATTTGTTGATGGAGCAAGTCTGTTATTTTCCTCACAGTCTAAATCTGCAGATTACCATGGTGATATGAACGGCGAGACATTCATTAAGTGGTTAAAAGAAAAACTCCTCTGCAACTTGGAAGAGCCATCAGTGATAATTATGGATAATGCATCCTATCATAGCATTTTATTGGAAAAGACTCCAAACACAAGTTCTCCAAAAAAAGAGATTATTGACTGGCTGGTTAAAAATGAAATTGTGTTCCAACCAACATTAACTAATGTGGAGTTATTGAATATAGCGAAAAGAAATCGTAAGGAAAAGAAGTATTTAATAGATGAAATCATAAGAAGTTATGGACATGAAGTTCTTCGTACCCCCCCATACCAGTGTGAATTTAATGCCATCGAGTTAATATGGGCCAATGCTAAGCAGTATTATGATAGACATATTGGAAGATGTGGTCATAGTGATGAAAATGTTTTAGCTATGTGGAATGAAGCTCTGTCACTAATTACACCAGAGGTTTGGAAAAAATGTGTGAAGCATACCCATGATGTAATTTTAGAGTGGTACAACAAAACTATTACTCGTGAAATAGAACCACTGATAATCTCATTTGATTCAGATAGCGATACTGAATCTGACAGTAGCGATTAATTTTTAATCTGAATTTGACCATTAGTAATGGAATAACATATTGAAAAGTACAGTTTATCTTATTTGATATATGTTTTATATAATTTTGTAGCTTCTGCTAAAATGAATAGTGGATGGCATGACATGAAATAGTACAAAAATATTTTCACTTTGGTGTGCTTATTTGTGTTTGTATTTTTTTTTTTTATAAAATAAAACCATGTTCTCATAATCAATTGGTCGTTTTAATGGAGCTGATACCAATGTATTATTATGATTTTGGTAAGAACTCTAGGGACTCAACAATATTAGATGAAAAATAGGTTCAAAATACGTACTATTATTGTGAACAGAGGAAATGCTGTTTTTTTTTTAATAAATATGTAATTTTATTGCAAATAGAAGTCTTAAAATGTAAATTTGTGCACGGATAATGAAAATTTAAAATCATGAAATAGAATAAATAAAAATAATCAATGAAATCAGCTAACTTCGATCACATGTTCCTGACATCGTAACCTTATCATCGACGTACGTCCGGTAATTATTTCGTTACAATTTATGGTATGACGTAATCGTCATCTTTCGTGATTTCGACTATATAGTCAAAAATTAATATTTTGTTGGTCCGAGTAGGCCATTAAACCTCAAATGGCAGATATAGTATTACATCAAGTTCGATGCTTGTCACTATTGCAGTCATTTTAACTGATGTAAAATTTCTTTACTACACCACATACCATGTCGCGGTAATATCTGGCCTTACATAATAAATTACCATAATTTTCATGTAGGTCAATATTTAAAAGCGCTTCTGAAATACCGTTAAGTCTGTGAGATAATACCGGGTGTGTATGTGCATATGTATTATGCCGTACCGTACATCACACAATCTGAACTAATTTTTTCTCACCTTTAATTAGCACGTGAGAGCCCTGGGACCGGTTCGCAAGCCATTGTTTTGAGCTGCATCCGATTTGCTTACGGGATAATCGAGAATAATACCATTTACCGTTAGTCTAGAATGGGGATTGAGTACTATGGTACTTAGAGTGACGCAAAAACTTCTCGCAAGGGAGTGCCAGCCAAGAAGCTTGACTCAAACTCAAGAGCTACAATTAGTTTA